GAAAGTAAAATACTAGATTATTCCAGACTCCATTGAACTAAAAATTTTACTTTCAACATGACTATCGGCAACATGTGGTGGAGTACAGTAAGGCAACATATTTGTCTTTAGTTGTTGGTTTTCTTGAAGAAATGTGATACCGGTTGTGAAAATCAGCACTTATAGTGCAGTATGTGAGCATACGAAGTATAGTGTTTATTTTCAAACATACTAGAGTTTCAGCGCACCCATAGATCTAAAAATACTGTGTATGGTTTTGGAAAAGCTTCAGTTGAGAGCCACTAGAATGATTTCAGGATGGAAGGGTTAAGATCTCTTGAGGAAAAAAAGGGAAAAGCTTATTGGAGTTTAACAGATTATCCCGGGGATCGATAGGATGAAAGTTTTTGATTTCTTTATGATATATTTTGAAAATAATGATGCGAAACGACACGAGTTTATTATTTTAAAAAGACAGTGACTAGAATCTAGTTTTGAATTTTTTAAACAACAGAGTAATAATTATATTTGTCAAAGGACATTAGTATTAGGCCTAATACTAATATAATTATAATCATTTTTCGTGGCTTGTAATAAGGTACACCATAAAAGGGTAATAATTATATTTGTCAAAGGGCATTAGGCCTATACTAATATAATTATAATCATTCTTCGCTGACTTCTAATAGGGTACCACCATAACAGGGTAATAATTATATTTGTCAAAGGACATTAGTATTAGGCCTAATACTAATATAATTATAATCATTCTTCGCTGACTTCTAATAGGGTACACACCATAACAGAGTAGTAATTATATTTGTTAAAGGACATTAGTATTAGGCCTAATACTAATATAATTATAATCATTCTTCGCTGGCTTGTAATAAGGTACATATCATATTACAGGGTCATAATCTTATAAAAGCAGTAGTGGAGGATGGCACCTTTGCAAGAGTCTTATAGAAATTCGGTGATTTTTCCTCAAGAGTAGGTGTGTAAGGACAGCCTTCAAGGACTAAGTGGTCCCTTATTACCCATTTGCACCCCCTCGATAATTCTTCCTGGTTAAGGCACTGCATAAATGTAAATGTTAACCTCTCACAAAACGTTTTTATTGCTATCCTTTCTCTGTAAAATAATATACAAACAAATTAATAGTCCCTTCAGAAGGTGGAGACCTGAAACGTGAAGGCTAAAATGTATTGTCAACTAACAAACAAGTGAAAAACTGGGAAGAAAAAAAAAACACACGAAACAATCATTACATACCAGTGTTTTCTTTTTTTAACCGTAATAATGAATGAATGAACTTTCCATAGATATAATCTGTTTTCTAGTTATTGTTAAAAGGTGTTATTTTAAGTTTGTTTTATTGTCTTATTTCTACAGTTATTTGATATGAAAAAGTTCCAACAGAATGTAAGCAGAGAACTCAGAAGAGGTTATCCTGACCGGAGAAAGTTAGAAAGCCAGTGTATATCTGCAGTGAGCTTTGTTAAAGATTCTACTGACCTATTAGAATGTCCTTGTTGGGTGATGATAATAAACATTGTTGCCCTGGATATGCTCAAGTCCAAGCTGCCACTAAGCAAGTTTTTTTTTTTCTTTTATCTCTTTAGGCTGTTTTCTCTAGTGTTAGTAGCAGTGATAGAAATCCTACTTAACTACAAGTATTTTGTTTCTCTAACGTTCCTGTTAATTTGTCCATTACGGATTTCAGGTCATAAATGTGTACAGATAACACTTACATGGTACAAGTCACTCTCCAAGAGCGTCAGCTGGGCTGGACTATAATGTTTGTCTGAAATGTTTCGCTAGCTTTCGACGCTCAACTCCAATCTTCTAATGTTTCTTATCATTGTTCTAATGTTCCTTATAATTGTTGACAGTTTTAAAATAGTGTTCTGATGATCCTTATAATTGTTGACAGTTTTAAAATAGTGTTCTAATGCTACTAATCATTGTTGACAGTGTTGGACGATGTTACAATAGTGTTCTGATGATCCTTATAATTGTTGACAGTTTTAGAACAGTGTTCTAATGTTACTAATCATTGTTGACAGTGTTGGACGATGTTACAATAACGTTCTAATGTTCCTTATAATTGTTGACAGTTTTAAAATAGTGTTCTAATGCTACTAATCATTGTTGACAGTGTTGGACGATGTTACAATAATGTTCTGATGATCCTTATAATTGTTGACAGTTTTACAATAGTGTTCTAATGTTACTAATCATTGTTGACAGTGTTGAGCAATGTTACAATAGTGTTCTGATGATCCTTATCAGAATCGTCTCCCACCTGGTTAGTTTCCGGATTTACATGGCGAGTAGCCACCATTATTCAAGGATTCTGAGCCCTAATCATCTTTGTCGTGGGAGTACTATTAAATTAGATTGGATAAATAGTTGGAGATTCCAAAGTTCGGAAATGTCCCAACCTAACTTTCAGCTAACTTAGTAGGAAGGCAACCAGGTCGGCATCACCCGCCGCCTACAAGCAGCCTACTCTTACTCGAATAGCAGGATTGATCTTCACGTTTTTAAGGTAACCGGAATGTGCTCAGCGGCATATCATAGGATTGATTCTTGGACCTTTCGGAAAAGGTAATTACTAGATCATCAACTGAAGAAGAACACGAATTGTCATTAATGTAACCGTAGAATACTCCACCAGGTGATGAAGAAGATGAGGCTTAGCTTTGAGTTCCGAGCTCCAGCCAACCGTTTTCAATAAGAATGTAAACTGGCGTTCACTGTGTTCTTAATTACTATGACTTGACCTGTAAACCCAAACTGCTGGAAGTAGTGATGTGGCCAAGTATGGAGAATTTAATGAGGGAAGATCTGGAGCAGTGATGTGGCCAAGTATGGAGAAATTCATAAGGGAAGATCTGGAGCAGTGATGTGGCTATGTATGGAGAATTTAATGAGGGAAAATCTGGAGTAGTGATGTGGCCAAGTATGGAGAATTTCATAAGGGAAGATCTGGAGCAGTGATGTTGCCGAGTATAAATAATTTCATGAGGGAAGATCTGGAGCAGTG